ACACACACACACACACACACACACACACACACACACACACACACACACCCTGAAACCTAGGGTGACCTGCAAGGCCCTTTTACTGTGTCTACACCTAGCTCTTTGCTCTCAGAAGATCCTGATTTCCTCCACATAATTTTTCACTACATTCTCTGTTTTCTTTACTAGCGTTGATGTGGTGAATGCATGGCCCTCTACTAGCCCAGTGACCAGCACATCCTAGACGGTCAGTGAATATTGTGAATAAACGGGGATGCCTCAAGCCTAAAGCAAGTCAATGACGCTGGGTCCAGCTGTGAGATAGGGAGAAGGGGGCTTTAAGTCAGCGAGGGCATCACCCAGCAGATGGGTGAAACCAAGCAGAATCTGCCTTAGGTTTGGGTGAATGAAGGAGGGAGGAGGCCATCCAATGGAAGGAAGACGAGAGAAAGGGTGTGGAAACTGCCAGGTAGCTGAGTCGGTAAGGAGACTGGTTCCACCGAGTAGAGCCCCAGTAGGAAAGTGTGGCTGGGCTGTAGGAGGTTTTGGGTCATCTGAGTGGCAGGTCATTCTTGCTGACTACCTTTAAGGGGTTACTTCATTATGAAGGTATACAAACTAAAATGGACCAGTCTGGCATCACCTGGGTGGGTTGTGGGCACTGTGGAACAGAGGGAAGAATTGTACCTCACTGCTAACCCTGGAGGAAGATTACTACAGACCAGGTTTGAAAACCAGAGAGGGGGTTCGTAGCCACTTCTGGGACAGGACTGGATCTCTAACCCCATCCCGGGGAAAGCCAGCCTCACCTCTCCAGTTCTAAACAGCCTGTCAACTCATGGGGTCACAGGCACATTCATTGCTGACTTATTTTGAAGCCTGCTAAAGGACACTTTCTGAGCAAGAAGAAGGGTAAAAACCAAAACCAAAACCAAAACCCCAAATCTACTCTTTCCCAAGACAGCTTCCAAATCAGAGCATCCAAAGGGGCTTTAAGGTTTTAGGAGAACAGGGGAAGGGGCTGCCACTTCATCTCAGAGATTGTAGGGACACAGCTTTCTGTTCATTGCCACCATCTTCTTGGAGCAGGTCCCCAGAATCAGTGGCTTCTGTTCTGGCCAGGGATGTCAGACCTGGTGTCCTGGGTTACCCGAAGTCAATCAACTAAGGGTCATGGCTCTGGGCATTAGGTCCCACTCCAGAGATTGGAGCAGCCCACTGTGGCAGGAGCGTAGGGTGCACAGAGACATCAGCAGAAAGTGAACTACTTTCCATCTCCAAACCCAGGCCTCTAGCCTGCCCACCCTCTCGGAGGAGGCCTTTGATCTCCACAGCTCCATAAATGTTTAATGCCACTGGCTGGGCAGAAATGAGGCAGGTGCTAGGACATGCAGAGTGGAAACAGGACTTGAGATCCGTCCTGTCAGCTAAATCATTTGTGTAGGAGCCCTGGGGTGGGAGGGAGGGGCCCCCACCCCTGCCTTGTGGAGGGAGAAGTCCCAGGGTTTAAGTTTGTGGCACTAATAAATGAAGCTCTTTGAAAACCACAACGGGGCTGAAACTAAAATGAAGAGTCAATTGTAGAAGCCCAATTCTCCTCCCCCCCTCACTTCCCACCTTTCCAACCCCCCTCCCCTGTTTGATTGAAGGAGAAAGATAGAAAGTTAAATGACAATCAAATGCAAATACAGCTCAACAAACACCACAGCAATTACCAGGCTCAGGAAACACATGGCTTTTGCAGGCAGCAGGGGTTGGCAATTTGGAAGCCCGGGCCTGTGTGGAGGTGATGGGCATGGGGCTATTTTAATGGACAGTTAAATAGATGCAAAAACCTTGCATCTAGTTTGCATACCTGCTGATGAGTGGGGAACTGGGACCCAGGGAGGTTACAATACCTTCACTGCTGCCTTGTGGGTTGTTTCAGATGGGGAGGGGCCTTGAGTGCTTGGGAGGCAAAGCCAATTTGAGTGTCTGGCCAGTCTCTTTGGTCTCAGCATAAGCTAGTACCGAGGCGCGAGCACTGAAGTTAAAGAGAGCCCATGGGGTCCTCCATGAAAGGGCTCCACGCACTGGCCTTCCAACAGCCCAGAGGCTCTGGTAAGGGTGGCCTTCTCTTCAATATTTGCATAATGCTTTGCATCTCATTTGAATGCTATTAATTTGGTGTCAGGCTAGGTTGGCACGGTGCAAGAAAGAGAACAGCTGGCCTTCTCCCTCCCCTCTGTACCCCAGGGCTTACTCTTCTCATAGCCCTCCCCAACCTTGGAGACAGAGGCCTCCACTTCCCCCTCCATGTTCCCTGACACAGGGAAACCAGCCTCTAAAAGCCAAGGCAACCCGGACACTGGGGCCAGCTGCAGAGTTATGCTGAAGGAAGAAGAAATGGTCCCCAAGGGCACCCTTGCCAGACCCAGGGACACCACAGAAGGACGCTGGGGGCCTCTGTCTCCCCAAGCGATCAAGGCAGCTTGGCTTGGAAAGACTCCAAAGA